ATTAACCTCGACAATATACAAATGAACATTCAACCCTTCAAATCCAAGAAAACTCAAACAAACTAAAGGCTTCCAAAAAATGGGAAGAACAAGTAGATGAACATCAAACTTGGTGTGTCCTACAAACCTTAGGGGCATTGCTTGGGCCAGGCCGAGTAAGGCCAAGAGTGACACGAGCTATGTCAGCCATGAACTCAACAAAACAACATAGCAAAATGCTCTAACGCCCACACCAGATATGGACCGAAGTCTGAAAGGAAGAAGAAAGTGAGTGTGGGGGTTTGGTGAAGGAACCCAAAACACCTATTTATAGTCAGCCATTGGGTAAGAGGAAGAGATCATTTTGGCAACATAACTTATATTATATTATTTTTTAAAACCAGACGTTGTTCTTATTGATTCTCCATCCATTTTTGTTTGTTTGTTTTGATGCCTTTTTAGTATCTATACTCTCTTCCTTATGTGCAAAAGTTGCCTAATTGGTTTGGAGAGAAAGAGATAAGGGGGAGAATAAGGATAATGGGCATAGAGCCCGCCATATGGTGTGGTAAGAGCAGCGGGTAAGTGCTTGGTAGGCCAACAAATCCAGTGAATCGAGCAGGGTGTCACAATCACACTTTTAATGGCAGCGGACTTGCGATTGTGCGACACTCACTTTCCAACGACAAGTGAGCTAAGCCAATTCGTTCTTGCATCGCCTACGGCCAAGCGACGTATACTCGAGCCTCTAGCCTTTCTTTTAAGAGAAGGTTTTAGAAAACGAGGGTAGAGAGAGATTTTTGAAAGAGACGTTATATAAGCAAGTAAGAGAGAAATAACAATGACTCATAGTATATAACCTTGAGTAGGGAGAAGTTGACAACTAGTCGTATCCTCCTATAGTACATTTTGAGGCATTTCATGTCTGACAGGCCTAGACATGATTTTTCTAAAACGTCATATTTGGTAGAAATACAAAAGTAAAACACTAGAATATGAAAAGACAAGACATAAAGGGTTGGGCTTGTCATGGGCATGCGGCCATGGGCAACATGCCTTGGACGAACATGACCGTGACACAGGGCACTCGACGAAAGGGGAGCACATTGAGCAAGTACGAGAGATTGGTCCTCCTTCGTTTTATTCAAAACAAGGACCACTACGAGAGGTCAAACCAAGGACGTATACAAGTCGGGGCTCGTCCCCGATCACTATTGGATCAAACAATACGAGGTCGTATCATTGATCTCTTTTTTTATTGATTCAATATAATTAGGGGAGAAAAAATCATACAGTCCCCTATTGAGGCAAGAGAAAGTTTGAACGAATCCTCCATGCATTGGGCATACCTGTCTTTCTCATGGCGGGAACAGAACAGGAAAGACCCAGCTAACGCACCCCTGACTATTAAAAGCTTGAGGGCTAAAGTGAGTAAACAGAATTCCATACTCAATCTCATAGATACATATAGAATTCTGTGGAAAGTCGTATTCGATGAAAGCCGTATGTACGGCTTGGAGGGAGATCTTTCATATCTTTCGAGATCCACCCTACAATATGGGGTCAAAAAGCCAAAATAAATGATTTTAGCCCTTATAAAAAGAAAACTGATTCTTGAACCCCTTTCACGCTCATGTCACGTCGAGGTACTGCAGAAGAAAAAATTGCAAAATCCGATCCAATTTATCGTAATCGATTAGTTAACATGTTGGTTAACCGTATTCTGAAACACGGAAAAAAATCATTGGCTTATCAAATTATCTATCGAGCCATGAAAAAGATTCAACAAAAGACAGAAACAAATCCACTATCTGTTTTACGTCAAGCAATACGTGGAGTAACTCCCGATATAGCAGTAAAGGCAAGACGTG